CAGCGAGAGAGAAAAAGAGAGAGAAAAGGAGAGAGAAAAGGAAGAAGGAAGAAGGAAGAAAAACTGACTCACCGGTAATGACGTCAGCCGTGGAAAGCAAACCGGATCTGAAGTTTTCCCGCGGCAGACGGCGCGGGCGGTCGATCCACCGGCGCGGCGATTCGATTCACCGGCCCGGCCTGGCCGGGCGGGGACGACGTCGACGACGATTCCTCTTCCGTGTAGCAATTACGAGGCACACACGCGCGCCCGTACACATATGGTACACGCACACGCGGGGCGGCGCGTATCCTATTTCGAAAATTCGATCGGCCGATCGATCCGTGAAATCCGCGACGCCGCTTCGTCACTCCGCAGCATACTTGGTGTCGGCGAGCGTGCGCGGGCGCGCTCGCTCGCGGAGAAAATTCGTCTTCTTTCCTATCTCTTTTTACCTCACCTCCGTGCCACTTGTTCCTCCTCTCCCTCCTCGCCTCTCGTTCCGTGCTCCGTTTACTCCACCCAACTACGTTTCGCCGTCTTCCTCTTCTCCTCCTTCTCCACCTCCTCCTCCTCCTCTTTCTCTTCCTCCTCCTCCTTCTCCTTCTTCTTCTTCTTCTTCTTCCTCCCGCTTTCTGCCGCTTGTCGCCGCACTGCACCGCGCACTGTCTCACCCGCACTGTCGTCTCCACGTGCACTGTCACGCGGCACCGCGGCACACACGCGTCGACACTGCCCGTAGAATCGCCAAAACGACTCACGTCTCTTCCTCTTCTTTCGCCGCCTCCTCTTCGTGTCGCCGCTTCCGCTGCGATCTCTGCAGGAAAGACGAGGTCATGGGAAACTTAACTCTGGGGAGTTAATCGCCGCCGAGAGAACGTCGACGACGAGACGACGATCAGCCGTCGCTACCACGCTACTCACGCGCACGCGCACGCGTGCCGAGTTAGGTTAACAGAAGGCTCAAAGGCTGCAACTATCGCGACCCGACCACTCCGACCGACCGACCGACCGACCGACCGACCGATTCCAAAAGCGGAGAAATATTTCCTGTTTCGTGTTTACTTGCTCTCGTCTGCCTCGACTATAATTTTATCAAGCTCACACTTACAAGATTACCCAATCATGCGTACTTATCATTCTTACATTGTATTTCGTCGCGTCCAAGTTGACGTAGGGTAACCGTCCGTTGTTTATGTTATTATGTCACGATTTATTTTTACCTAAATAAATTTCTAAGTCAGGAGAGTAAATTTGGATGCTGGCCACGGATGCCAAACAACTCCAATTACGAAGGGTTCCCTGGGTTAGTACACCTCGGTTACGCAATCCAAGTATTTCGAATCGCGCCACGTTTATCGTCGGCTTCATTTTACTGGACGAAACGGACCAAGTAACCGCGACACGCGTTGTTTAATCGAAGAGAGCTGCGCCGACAGTCGCGCGCATACGCGTGTCATTGTACGTATAGAAGACACACGCACGACACGCGTTGAACTGTCCGTTCCGTCACGAATTGAAGACGCAAGTCTCAAGAAGTGAATCCTCCAACACGAAACGTAACAGACTGCCAATCTAGATTTGTATATATAAACTTGAGCGATTTAAAAATGGAAGCGTTATAAAAATCAAGTTCAATATCACGCTCCTCCGATTGGCATTTTTCACAGCGTATTTCCGACCTTTCGTTTCGGTCGACCTGAACGTAACGTTCGTTTCTAGCAACGCAGATAAACCTTAATCTCAGCTTTAATTTATCCTCTTCCAATTGTAAGAATTAGAAAAAAAATTCAGAGCAAGTTAAATCGAGATTGCAACGCTAACTTACATTGATATAGAAGTGAATATTACAAAAATAAAATAAAATAAAATAAAGAGTAAAATTGAAGGAGGGATTTAAATGAAACTACATTGGATTACGCGCGAGAAGAGACACGCCGCGCCGTCGCCTTCGAGCAGCCAGTCGTTTTAACCGACTGACCCTATCGACGGCGAGCGATTAGACTGAAGCGTAGTGTGCTCGACTTCCGGTTCAGCTGTTCGCACAAAGATCCGCATGTTTCTCCGACCCGCGTGCCTCGCGCCACAGTGTTTTGTTGCCCGTCGCTTGTTTCCGCTCGGTATGCTTCGGCCCGCTCCGTCCTACTCTCAGTTATCCCCACTCTCTCTCTCTCTCTCTCTCTCTCCTACCGTATCGCTCGCCCCACCTCGTTCCCCCGTTGGCGCTCAGAAGGTAGGCGCACCTCGTGCGCCCGAGAATTTCCTCATTGACCCGCGCGCTCCGTATTCCACCTGCGACTCGTCATCACCGTTATTAATATCGTTCCCCGTTGCCGCCGCGCGGACCTCGTTATCGTTCCCATGGCGGGAATCGCGCTACCGTCGTCACCTCCGTTTTCATCGCCTCCGTCGTTGTTGACGGTCGCACAAAACCCTCCTTCCGACGAAAATTGGGCAAGGCGCAGCCGAATTAAGCCGATCGATAGATTTATCGAACAATTGCGAATTAACGATTGAGAGAAAGAGAGAGAGAGAGAAAGAGAGAGAGAATGGAGTAATTAACATCATGCAATCGTGATTAACAAGCAGCTACGGCTTAAATAATCATTAATTATGACTTTTTAAGTAGAAAACGCGCGAGTACATCAGTAATTACAATTGGATCGAACAGGTTGATGTGACATTTAAAAAAGAATAACGAGACCACTCGGTAAACTAGATGCGGTATCTTGCGTTTGATAAGTAATAGAAAATTATGATTAAAGAATTTTTCACGTCATTCAATCGCATCGCAGAGACAAGTTAAACACGACTGTCAATAGTGTCAATAGTGTCAATAGTGTCATTCGAGAGAATCACACGATAATAACAATTTCAATTCAAATTCGTTCGTTCCGGATTACATGTGAAAATATTCTCTCAAATGTTCCATTTTATGATGACATATCATACGATATTTTGCATACTGCTCTGATATTTGATATTTATTTTGTACGTTCCATTCACAAACTCAAGAGAGGTAAGGGAAAGAAAGAAAAAAAAAAAGAGAGAAACTGGAAAATCCTGAAAAACATTCGCGAAAGAGTTGGAAAAAAGCCCAAGGAGTCAACGCTCTCTCGATCTCGTGCGACGAGATCACAACGAATGATCCCTTTCTCCTCCCTCCCCCTTTTACGCGGTCAGACGCGACTCTCCCGATACCCTTCGCGTGCCGCCGCCGCCGCCGCCGCCGCCTCCTCGTTTGCTTCTTCTTCTTCTCGTAGTCGTTTCCATCCGACACGTCGCGTCGAGTGCCGACCCCAGTGCCCGAGAATTCTCCTCTTTCGACAGCACCCGCTGACCGGAGCAGCACTTCTCCTGTGAAACAAAATACATCTCTCATTAAAATATATCTCAACGATGCTAATCAACAACCAGTGATTAACATTTCCATAATCAGCGGATTAATTATTTCAGGAAATAAAATCTCTCTCTCTCTCTCTCTCTCTCGCGCGCGCAATTCAAATTTTTACTCCAGAATCCTACTTCGTTAAAATTATTATTCCGATCGAATTATTCAAATCAACCTCGACATTTTCTTTTCCTAAAATCATTGCGGATTGCAGAAAATCAACGCGGAAATGGAGTCGCAAATTAGAATTAATCGTACAGGGTGAATAAGAGAAAATAAAAATAAATTGCTTGAAAATAAAAATAAATGCGTCTAGCGTCTGGACACCAAGCTGCACAAATAATTGCTGTACAATATAAGCGAGTGACGAAGAAATTTAAAAGAATTCGCTTAGTTAATTGCGAGTAGTATTAGAATGATGCTTTCATTGACTATTCGGTTTCCATTTCTTTTTCTCGGGTATATCTATACTGGTAGAAACTAATTACGTTACAGACTCGCCGGTGAGCACGATAGGAGGTCACGCGATAACGAACGAAACACTTGTAACTTCACAGAATATTCTATGTTTCGGTCTCTCTCTCTCTCTCTCTCTCTCTCTCTCTCTCTCTCTCTCTCGCTCTCTATTTTCCGCGTAATCGACAGTAATTACGTTCCGTGTATTTCCATGTATTCTAACCATAAGTGAGGATGAAATTAACACGCAAATGAGTGATCGAACGTAAACCGATATAGTAGGGAGGGAGGGGGGGAGGAGAGGGAAAAAAACAAAGATGCGCGTTGTTAGCATCGATTTGATACGTCACTTATCATTATCTGTGTGTAAGGTTGATAGAGGCGAACTGAAAACTACCACACAGATGTGTAGTAGAAAGAAATTACGGTTGCATCGAGTTTAGGATAAGCGTTCAATAATAACCGGTTATTGACCTACCTATTATACGCACGATTTATAAATTCAAACAACTGTATAAAGTACGGAGGAAACATAATGTTAAGTACAAGTATACGCACAAGTAGATAAGTTATAGAAATGGTGAATGTAAAATAAATGATAAAATCGAAATATAATGTAATATTAATATTATTCGAGCATATATAAAATATAACTAGCGCTTGACAGTTTTGCATATATTTTCGAAAAATTTTATATCCGTACCTATACAATGCGTAATTCCGTAAATATAAATTCAACATTGGAAAAGTTGTCAAGTTTCCAGGAGAAATTCTTCCAATAAAGACATTGTTAAGAGCGATTTTCGTTTAGAGTTTCTCGCGTGAAAGTGCAAAACTACCTGTACGACTTGAATGAGGAAAATTTGTAAACCCTGGTCGTCGTGCGAGTCTATCAGTGCGCCCGCGCCGTCCCGACGCGACGTAAAGAAACGTAATGTATTTCGCAGGAAATCCGCAGCAGCCGACGGAGATACGGCAATTACGGTCGGGATACGTGTACCAAGCACGCAACGGGGGCGCAATCGATCGTTCCTCGCGCAGTGGGAAATACTGCGGGAGAAAGCATCTGACACGCGTTTGCGAATTGCGCCCCCCCCCCCCCCGGTGCCGTATCCAAGGAACCCAGGTCGATTCGCTGCTGTGTTGAATACGCAACAATAGCAAAAATGGCATCAGCTGTGCGGGACAGCCCTAGCTCACTTACCATCGATCTTTTTGTTACGCGGCTCGGAACAACGGCACTGCCGCCCGCGACCAAATAGAAATTGAAATTATTTTCAAACGTCCGTCCGAAGGTGGTAACTTTAAAGTTTAAAGCCTTACCACGTTAAGTCGAAGAGAAAATTCAATTAAGATCAAAAATAAAATTTCAATATTATTCAAGCTTGAAATATAAGAATCGTCGCACAGTTCACAGTTACTCTCATTTGGTTCAAACAACGGTACTTTACGTAATACTTTCAATTCGCTTAAATATACGTAAAAATTTCGCTGGATACAAATCTGAGGGTAATTTTCTTACACCGTCGAATATGTATAATGTAGCTGATCGCTTGAAACTTTTTGCATCGAAATTTCTACATAATTGCTTTAATGATTCAACAAAATTATTTTCAAATCTGTATCTGGCTAGATTTTGCTAATACTTGAGCAAAATCGTTCTTCCCGTGCCGTGAAAGCGCGATATAATTTTCACTGGAGTGAGAAAATTCACGAGTGTGAAAATCAGCCGGGAGATCTCATCGTGCGAGCAATACGATATGCAAGGATTTATGCCTACGATACTGAAGAGCAGGCGATCTCTCGATAGCGTTAATCGCGAGCAAACGAAACGCGCGCGATCGAAAGTTTTTCCCCAAGACGATCTCACTTAATCGCACATTACGGCTCTCGCGCGGTATAAGTTGAGTCATCGCGTATAGTAGTGCACTAATGGTCGTCCACCTTGAGGATGTTTCCTTTAGAGTATCTTATCTCTCTCTCTCTCTCTCTCTCTCTCTCTCTCTCTCTCTCTCTCTCT